TACTAATCTTTATTTGTTGATTTGTCAGTTGTTAATTTGAACAGGTTGGAATGTGCAGAATGCTGGGTGCTTTGCTTTAATGGCTTCTCTTTATTTAATGTAACATAAGTATGGGTTCTGTTTCCTGATTATTGGACGTGTGTGAAAATTTGAATTTTTTAGGAAACTTTTATGCTTCAGAATTTATTGTAATTGGTCTTTAGGTAATGGAATTTCCTTTGCTGGTAATGCAATATAAGGCAGCATGTTTTCCTTTTATGGAAGCGTGTGGTTCGGTGTAAGATATGGACGCCTGTGCTCATTTGTCCAGACGGTGGTTCACCAAAGCGATATCCACAATTTCACTCTTTGTCAGTAGTTCGGCTCTGAAGGGTTGCATCCCTTTGTGATATGAAATAGTCAGTCCTGTTGATTATGATTTCATAAGTACCTTGGAATCGGTAACACCTACCTAGGGCATTTTGGAGCTGAATCCTTTCCGAGATCATAGCGAATCAGGAATCTCACAGATTAGCAAAGTACTTTTCAGTTTCCAAATGCCTTTCACATGTATCACCACCGCATTAAGCCTTTGCAGCACGTGGCATAAACAGAGCAACGTTCTGTATTGGGAAGAACATTCTTTTGACTGTGCTGGAGCGTGGGTCCAACTTCTAGTTCCTGAAGTCTCGACCATAGTCCCTTGCTTTGTTCAGTCAACCTCTGTATGCTGCCGTTTCCTCCCTCTAAAATGTGAGAATGATGGTAGCCAACTTTACATACCTCTGTCGATCTGGTATTATGGGGCTCCACTGAATAAATAATTTTCAGAGTGCTCTATAAATCCATACAAGTTCTGGTACTCTCTGAAAAAGAAAACTTTTCACGGGTTAATATGAACGATTGTTTTCTCATATTTGAGTTAGCAAATGGAGGCTGAGTAATTACGTGATTTTCTCACAGTTGTGGCAGAGATGGGGTTCACACCCAGGCGTGGTGTGCCTCTATCCTGCACCGGCTGCGTGGCCACAGCCCATGGGGTGTTCCTGAGAATCCAGCCTGTCGTTGGCCTGCTCACCCACACGTGCCTCATTCCAAAATAGTAAATTCAGTTACTTTTTGGTGGGTTTCTCTCTCCCTCTCTCTTTCTCTCTCTCTCTCTCTTTTTTTTTTTTTAATTTGATCAGGGCACTTGCAGTTGTGATATGTAGTAAATTCCAAAACAGTTGTCTCCATGTAGTATTTTTCTTATGGAAATGAGATTTGAGTCTGCCCTCTTTTGACGAAATCCGCCCCTCCCCCTTTTTTTAATCTGGAAAAACAAGATGCTCTTTCTTTTTGCTTGAAGGATGAGAGAAATGGTTGGGCTTTTTTACCTGCCCCCCCACCCCCCACCCCCGCCTGTCTTTTCCTGCAATCATTTCACCTGGCTCAGAGCACTATGAAGAAATACAGCTTTGGCAAACGGATCCTGCAAAGATTTACTCGTATGTCCATATCCAGGTTTTTCTTGTCAGATAGTTTTTACAGAGGGATTATTAAAAGAAAACGTTGGCTGTCATTAATAACGTTTTGTGCTGTGTCTTTAGACACAGATGATGACTGGTTATTGGAAAGGCGGCAGGCGTGCCAGTGAAGTAGAACTTTGAGTAAACGGCATCTCCGGATGCCGCACTTGGCAGAGACCGGTGCTAGGTTAGCAAGAAGACAAGTGTGTCATGCATTGCTTCCATTAGCGTCTCACAAGTATGCCTCTTTTTGTAACTGGTGTTTGTTTTATATAAAGTATTTGTTCCCCAACCTGGCAGGAGTAGGCTCACATGGAATTGTGGAGCTCTCCCAGGACCGACGCTCTTTAATGCCCCGATGTCTAGGGTTGTGACAAGGCCGCTGCGCACGTGTGCAGCTTGCCTGTGTCACGATCTACATTCTCAGCGACGATCCAAAGCAACGTGAACTATGCTGAGACACCGTCAGCCACATCGCACTGAGTGGTTTCATATGGAATGAATGCTTGTTGGATGTTTCCTGAATAAAATGATAAGGACTTAATGTGTCAGTAGCTGAGCTTGTGTCCATGAAAAATCCCCAGGTGTTATGGAGGGGGTCTTCCCGCATCATAGGACGCGTCTCCAAACGAACAAAATCTCCAAGTATTCTGAGGAGTGCCAGTAATTCACTTCAAATGGTCTCGAGAAGGAATTTGGTCTAGATAGACTTATTAAGTGACCATTAGACTTTTTTGGCTCAGAGCCAATGTCTTAAAACAAACACAGAAGTCTGAGGATAAGGAATCAGACATACCTTTCAACCTTCAGGAAACAAAACTAACTCTTGAAGGAACTCATAAAATATGTAAGGGAGACAAGTTTTTTTTTTTTTAAGATTTTATTTATTTGAGATACAGAGTGCTCACACACGCGTGCCTATGTGCATATACGAACAGGTGGGAGGGGCATAGGGAGAGGGAGAAGCAGTCTCCCCGCTGAGCAAGGAGCCCCTGCAGAGCTCCATACCAGGACCCCGAAACCATGACCTGAGCCAAAGGCAGATGCTTAACTGACTGAGCCATCCAGGGACACTGGGAGCTAAGTTTTCAAAGTGACTTCATTGCTGTTAAAAAAATGGTGTTCTTTTACAATTGTTATATTGCAAAAAACTATGCATTTGTTTTAACATGCTTGGGAGAAGTGGACACCAGGAAGCTTGGGACAAGCTTGTGTAGCTCTTGGAAAAGTATCATGGAAAAGCTCAATTTTTAAAAAAATTAAAATAACTGAAAAATGAATTGTTCATATGCAACATTAAAGAATATAAAATGTAAAATATTCTTACAAGAAATAGATCGGATCTTACTTAGTGAGAAATAAAACAAAGGAACAATATTGACTCTTTTTGTTTGTTTTGGAGAGGGAGAGAGGGTCTTAAGCAGGCTCCATATTCAGTGTGGAGCCTGACTTGACCTCACAACCTGGGATCATGATCTGACCTGAAATCAACAGTCACTCAATGAGCTGAGCCACCCAGGTGGCCCTATGGACTCCCCCCCCACCGCACCCCCATCAAATCCTGTAGCACTTCTTCCTGCTTCCCCAGCTTTACTGAGATACAATTCGCAACCTTGTTTCACTTAAGTTGTATGTTGATACACGTACATATTGGGAAATGTTTACTGCAATCACACGGTTCTTTTCAAAGTTGAGTAAGCATCAGAGTTTCTTGGAGAACTTGCTAACAGAGACTCCTGGGTCCCGATCCCAGAGATTCTGACTCTAGGTCTGGGAGCAGGCCGTGAGCTTGCATTTCTGATCACCTGCTGGGTGAGGTTCTTACTCTCGGTCATCGATCGCATCGTGAGCAGCGTTGCTGTGACAGGCAGCTGAGGCGTGGACAGTAGAGCCCCTTAGACTTTAAACTATATTTTAAAACACAGGGGGAGTTGGCTACCAAGTAGAGTAAAAAAATAATGAAAAAAAAAAAACCATATTTATAGATCCCGAATTCTAGGGTATACTTATCTGGAATTTAACAGAGAACGTTGATCCTAATTGGAAAATTTATTAAGAATGAAATAAAAATCATGTAGATCAAATAATAATGACCTGATGGGAGCCAGCAGTAAGCCAGTGTTTAGAGAACTGACATTTAACTATATGGGAATATTCATTTTTACTCATTAAAACATAAAATTGAGAATCAACTCTCTATTCATATTAATGTAACATTTTAATTTCAACCATGAGGACTGACTGTGATCTCTTATTTATTACTATATATTGTATATAGTATATATGGTACTATATATTATATAAGCTTACTGTATTTTATGTAGTATATATAGTATATGCAGAATATGTAATGCTGTGGTGTACATATATATGTGTATATACAGAGCTCCATGGCGTGGAATGTATATGTAACGTATACAGTATGTATATAGTATAGATATGGTATGTAATCATTATATTTTATACATTATTCAAGTACTATACATAGTAATAAATTATATAAACAGGTACACATACTAGTACTATAGATCCTACTATATATAGCAGAAAAGTATATATACGTGTATATATACTTTTTTCAACAATATTCTTTATTATATATATAATGCATATACATTTAATATAGATAACATACTATTATATATACTATCCATTATTATTATTATTTATTATTATGATCGCTAATGAATCATGGAGCCTAGTTAGCGACTTTGATTTGTTACTGTATCCGGTAATAACACTTTAAACACATATTCAGACTTTATTCTCTGTTCTGAAATTCATGCCAGAGAGTTTATTCTGTATATTTCGGTAGATTTAATATATTCTAATATTTATTTGGTAAATTTTTACGTTACGATGCATTCAATGTATTATAATAGAGGAATTAAACTGGATGTGTATTAATGCGGTGAGACCCGCTGAGCTAAAGGTAAGTTAACTGCCGTGTTATATATAGACCCTTAATAGGAAGCAACTTCACCCAATTCCCTGCGGACTTTGTAGACAACACTCCTACGTTGCCAACTGTAAAGCACGTCTATGTTAACATTTCTTAAAAAACAAAATTTGTCTGTGACGACGACATTTAGGAAACATTTTTTTAAGAGTTTATTTTGAAGTCCTCTCGGCACCCACGTGGCGCTGGCACTCCCAGCCCCGAGGCCCAGGGCTGTGCCCCACCCGCCCAGCAGCCGGGCGCCCCTAGAAAACATTCCTTGCCGAAGGCAGATACTCTCACAGGGCGGTTCTGCCCGATGGTGCGTGTCGGAGGGTGAACGCCGTGTCCCGCGTCCCCTCCAGGCTCTTGCAGTCGCGTGGACACGGACGTATGTTGTGTTGTGTCGTGACGCCCTCGCTCAGGCGCCCGTCCCGCCCCGTGCTGGGGATGGCCCGAGCAGCGACCGACCGTGCCCAAAGCCGCAGCAGAAGCAGGTGGGGCAGGGGCAGGGGAGCAGGTGCTTGTCCCTGGGCTGTGTCTCACCCGCGCTTTCTGTCCTGCTTTCCCCCCAGTGCCTGGAGCCGTGCAGGGAGTCGTGGGACCCGCGGAAGCAGCAGTGCCAGAGCTTCTGTGAGGTAAGGGGATCCCCCGCGCGGCCCGAGGTCCCCCAGCCACCCGACAGCCCACCGCCCGGGCCATTGGCACCGAAGGCCGCCGCCTTCGCCCGCGGGCCGGACCTCCGTTGAGTGCAGGGAGGGTGGCCGTGCGGGTCTTGACACGTCACTCATGGAAAGAGGAGAAACACTGTTGAGCGGCCTTAAAGCCGAGCCCCCCAGCGCTTCTGTCACTGGAAGCAACTTTAGGACATAAGCATAGACACGGGGACCGTCTTCGAGGTGGAAACTGCTGCTGTCCCCCTTCTCTCCGTCCGGCTGTCGTCCGAGTCCCTGTCAGCGTGCTGTTGACGCGCTCGTGCTGCTCGGGTTCTCGGCCTTTGCCGCTCACCGTCCCCCCGTGGCCCCATAGGCTGGGCGGGAGGCTCTATCGGGGGCCGTTTGCAGGCCCAGAGTAGAGGGTGTGACTGCCCCGCACACCGGCCGCCTGCACGCCCAGGGAGGGCGGGAGCCGCTGCGGACCGTCTCCTCCAGGGCAAGTCGGGGGTCCGGCTCGGACGCAGCCGCGCGGATGTGGGCTGGCCCGCCGCCACCCGCCGGCCGCGCAGAGGAGGGAGAGCGGGGCCGTCTCCTCTGGGCCGGGGGGCAGCAGCGGTGGGAGAGCCCCTCCAGCCAGCAGGGCAGCTGTGTCCAGGCTGGGGAGAGCGGACGGGAAGGCCTGTGGCACGGCCGGAGTGCTGGGCGGGGACGCCTCTGAAGGGACCGGGAGGCTGGCGGGAGCCCGGCCCAGCCCCCGCACACAGCCCGCGGGAGTCCGCCCCTCCCCTGCACGAAGAGCTCCTGGGGCCCCGCGGCCTGTGTTTCAATCCGGAGGGCGCGCAGGGTCCAGTCCGAGCATCCGAATGCGGATCGGGGTGACCGGAGCGGCATCCGTGTGTAGGACGCAGGTACCCGCGGGCCGGACACCGCTCACTGTCCCTACACGCGGGGAGAAGAGCAAAGCGCATGGCGCGTGGGCGACAGTGCTGTGGGGACGCGCGGAGGCCCGGGCGCGGAGAGCCCTTCTGGTCCACCGGCCCCACCCTAGCCAGACGGACCCAGCCTCAACCGGCAGCGCCGGCCGCACCCCTTCCCTGCTCCCAGCCTGCTGTGACTCGACCTCCCTCGGACAGCGGGCGGGGGTCATGGCGTTCCTCGGTTCTCAAAGCAAGTGTTCCGCGCGGTTGCAGAGGAGCAGAGTGCGGGGGGTGGGGGGCGGGGGGGCTTCTCGGCATGCGCAGGTTCAGTGCGGGATTGGCCTAGTCTCACGTGTACTGGGCTCTGCCCATTCTGCTCAGCATGCGGTGGCGGGCGGCGGCGGGCGGTGGTTTGCAGCGCTTCCGCGGCGAGTCCGTGCTGCTGGGAACGCGTCGGACCTGAGGGCTCCCGCCGCGGCAGTCGTTGGAGCATTTCGTAGTGGCGAACACGGGCTGCCTCGAGTGATACCGAGGACTGGCCAAAGTCCTAGTTATTTACCCCAATTGCTCTGCAAGGACACTCACCGCTAGGCTCATGGTTGGGTGCGAACTCCCATAGAGGAAGAACCTTCCCGTGCCTTTGTATCCAGCCCTTCTGGGTGGTGGGGCTGGGACACGGGCCTCGGTCATGGTTTCTGTCTTCCCTCAAGGGAGCTGATGTATCATCCGTCCATTCTCCCCAGAACAGTTTGGCTTCTTTAGGGATTCCGTCCAGACTCTTCCAGAAAACATACGCTGACCCGGCCTTCAATTTCATGTGTCTTTATATTAGTTATCTCTTGCTGCCTAACAAATGACCCCAAGCTTTGGGGCTTAAAACAACACATGTTCCTTCCTTCCTTCTTCCTTCCTCCCTCCCTCCCTCCCTCCCTCCCTCCCTTTCTTTCTTTGTTTCTTATCGTGTTAGTCACCATAAAATACATCATCAGTTACTGTTGCAGTGTTCCAACATTCACTGTCTATGCACCACACCCAGTGCTCCATGCAATCCGTGCCCCCCTTAATACCCACCACCAGGCCCTCCCATCCCCCCATCCCCATCCCTTCCAAAACCCTCAGTTTGTTCCTCAGAGTCCACAGTCTCTCAGGCTTCGTCTCCTCCTCCAATTTCCTCCAATTCACTTTTCCTTTCCTCCCCATGTCCTCCGTGTTATTCCTTATGCTCCACAATTAAGCGAGACCATATGATAGTTGACTTTGCATAATACTCCATAGTGTACATGGACCACATCTTCCTTATCCATTCGTCCGTTGAAGGGCATCTTGGTTCTTTCCACCGTTTGGCGACCGTGGCCATTGCTGCTATGAACATTGGGGTACAGATGGCCCTTCTTTTCGCTACGTCTGTATCTTTGGGGTAAATACCCAGTAGTGCAATTGTGGGGTTATAGGGAAGCTCTGTTTTTAATTTTTTGAGGAACTTTCACGCTGTTTTCCACAGTGGCTGTACCAGCTTGCATTCCCACCAACAGTGTAAGAGGGTTCCCCTTTCTCCACATCCTCTCCAACACACGTTGTTTCCTGTCTTGTTAATGCTGGCCATTCTTACTGGTGTAAGGTGGGAACTCACTGTGGTTGTGATTTGAATCTCCCCGATGATGGCTAGTGATGATGAACATTTTTTCAGGTGTCTGATAGCCATTTGTATGTCTTCCTTGGAGAAGTGTCTGTTCGTTTCTTCTGTCCAGTTTTTGATGTGATTATCTGTTTTTTGAATGTTGAGTTTGAGGAGTTCTTTATAGATCCTGATGTCAGCCCTTTGTACTGTCATTTGCGAATATCTTCTCCCATTCCGTGGATAAGATGTGTCCTACCTCACAGTTTCTGTGCATTGGGAGTTTGGACACGACTTAAAGGTGTTCTTTGTGTCAAGGTCCCACGATGCTGTCATCAGGGTGTCTGCCGGGCTTGCTTTCTCGTCTGCGGGCTCAGCTGCTTCTGCTCAGGGTCGGCCTCCAGGCTCATGGCGGTCATCGGCAGAACGCATCCCTTACGGTTGTGCGAGTGAAGTGCCATGCCCTCGGTGGCTGTTGGCTGGAGGCCACTCTCGCATCTGAAGGTTGCCTGCGTTCCTCACCACATACCCTCCCTGCCAGGCCAGTGTCACCATGGCTAGTTACTTTTTCAAGGCCAGCGAGACCTCTCGACCCGCAGTCTGCTGAGACCAAGCTTTCCATAATACAACAGTCTCCGGAGAGACCCCTCTTCCCCTTTGCCATATTCTGCTGGTTAGAAGCAAGTCACTACAGCCTCCAACACACACACACACACACACACACAGACACACACGCCAAGGGAGGTGAAGACATCAGGGGCGGTTGTGACTCAGTGGCGCTCGCTCTGAGCTGTGTCTGCTACAAAGAGCAAATAAAAAGCGGTGGTTCGTGCCCCTTGACGCATTGACCAGAGCCAGAGTCATCAGAAATAGAGCAAAACCGGTGTATCGGGTGCAGGTGTTATGTGTTCTGTAACTTGCCCTCCCGGTCCTGTCTTGCATTCTGTGCTCTATGCAAACCGTCCATCCGTGTGAATTAAAATAAGCTGTCGTAGGATTTGGAGGAACGAGATGGACCACGGTGTTGGCTTCATAAACACGTGATCCCTTAAGATCCGTAATGCTGGGTGGATGGTGTGACATCTGAAGGACGGTGCCACTGAGGGTCATCCGAAACCTCTCTCGCTAGCAGTGACAAATGGGACAGCGCCCTTCCGTGATAGCTCTTTTCTGAAACAGCCGTGAGGGCTGCGGAACCCAATGCAGTTGATAGAAATGGGACTCATGGACCAATGGTGACTCCTGCTCCGGCCGGAGAGGTGAGCTGGACCCGGAGAGCCGGGACAAGTCGAGGCCGGTTCACAGGCCTCAGCGCGCTGGGCCCACCACTCGAGCTCCTGTTCCCCGTCAGTTCCTCTCGGCCGCCTTCATCTCTGTGTCTTGTTTCCTACCGTGTTGTGTTCCGGTCTGCGTCCCACGTTGGCGGAGACTGAGTCCTGTAGGACCGATCCCCATTTTGGCGTTGGGAGGCGGATGGTTCCCTGAGGCAGCCCTAAGCCTCTCGCTTGCCCCGTCGCTCACTGCTCCGCGTGCCTACAAGATCCCTGTTTTCACAAACCGGCCACGCTTTCCCTTGGTAAACGTTTACACCCAGAAGGTCTCTACAGTTCATTCCTCTCCGGGTGGAACGGCTGAACCGCTGACTTGGAGCCAGTGTGTTGATTTGCAAGACACTCTGAGCTTTATTTGTCTTTGAAGGCACGGTTCGCCTCCCGTTCTTACGGGTGAAGGTGTCTCGGAGCTCGGCCTCGCCGGCTCGCGGGGCTTCTGTCGCAGGCCGCCTCGGGGCCGTACAGCAGCAGAGCTGAGGACCTGTGATGGGTCCCGAGGTGCACGAGGCTGAGGCTGCTTCCCGCGGCGCCTGTGGAGTGTTCGACCTCCCGCCCCACGCAAAGAAGCGGTCCTAATCCTGCCATGACCCTGCCGGACCCTTCAGAACGTTGTTGCTCCCTGACCTGTACGCCCAGCACCCTTTCCTAAACAAAGCTCCATTGTTCTTGCTATTTTAGTCACGAAATCACTTTTCCTCCGTAGGAGAGGTCTTTGGAGGCGTGGTCACGATCACTCACCTAGAGCGGGTCTGTGGCTGCCGCACACACTGTCTCCTTAACTTCACGTCTGATCCTTTCTACGGTTCAAGCTGCTGCCACGGTTAAGGATGTTATCCCTTCGATGAAAGAGTTGACTGTGTCAGAGCTGGAATCGTGCAGGATGCCTTCTTCGGATCACATGGGAGAATTTTCCCCATGTCGGGTTTTGGAGGAGGGTGGGTCATGCTTTACTGTTTCAGTTTAGTCATTAAACGTTATCTCTGTCTCACTATTTTTTAAAAGATTTAAAAACCATCGTCAACCGTTTTTCTTCCTGATCATAAGGATTTTATTTATTTATTTGACAGACAGAAATCACAAGTAGGCAGAGAGGCAGGCAGAGAGAGAGGAGGACGCAGG